TGGCTGCCAGTGATTAAGGAGGGTGTAACAACTACAGGAATGTGGGTATGGCTACTTTAGGAGAGATCCTTTTGATAAGGAAAATGCTGTTTCTCAATTAAATGAATATCATTATCATGTGTGCAGCATTGTAATGTAATTTTGCAAGATGTTACCATTAAGGGAAACTGGATAAATGGTACATGGGCTCTCCCTGTATCATTTCTTAAGACTATATGTGAATCTATACTTATCTCCAGATAAAATGCTTAATTAAAAATAACATGAAAGCTGGGCTTGGTGGCTCAGCCTGTAATCCCAGCGCTTTGGGAGGCTGAGGTGCGTGGATTGCCTGAGCCCGCGGGTTCAAGACCTGCCTGGGCAACCTGGTGAGATCTCATCTCTACAATAAATCAAAAATTAGCCGGGCATGGTAGCGCGCACCTGTAGTTCCAGCTACGTGGAAGGCTGAGGCAGAAGGATCGCTGGAGCCCAGCAGGTCGAGGCTGTGGTGGCCGGGAACCGCCACTGCACTCCAGTCTGGGCGACTGAGTGAGACTCCAACCCAAAAACAAAAAACATGAATCACTCAGGTAAATGGTAGAAACAAGAGGGCAAAATAGAGATTAAACAAAAAGAGCCTTAGGTAAAAGAAAATTAGATAACTGAATCTCAAAATTAATGCATGGTGTCATGCTTCTGAAATTTATTCTGAATTTGGAGCCTCCATTGGCTTTTGATTTTTGGCACTATTTTTTATTGAGAATCATTATGGTTAGTATAAATGTAACAACATGATTCAGGGTATACAAAGCACTTAGTTAGGAATAGTCACATTTCAGAAACTCAAAAGCCATGAATTTGAGCAATTCACAAGCTCCCTGTGCTTCCATTTCCTCAGCTATAAAATAAGTATTATGGTAGCCTCGTGTGGTTCAAATGAGATAAAACATTGGTAAATATTTTATTAACTTTGAAACTTCATAGTATGAGTGCTTTTTATATGATCACCATTCAATGTCATAAAAGCCATAAGTACAGACTTTCTAGTTTTGCCCCCAGAAGGCCAGCATGGCTAATACTTTCCAGATATTCTGCCCATCTTTGATTGACCAAAATTCTTTATGCAGAGAATTAGATACAACATACATCATATCCAGACTCAAAGACCCGTAGCACACCCAAGCGTCACTCTGCAATATCCTGCTTAAAATGCTGTTTGAAAATCTAGGTTTTATTATTATTTAGGTGTGATGAGGCTAACAAACCAGGAAATGATTGCCATTGATTGCGACTCACAGTTTCCAAAGGTAAGGGAGCAAGCTGTGGGGGAGAGGCCATGTAGGGAAGAACCAGGGTCAATCAGAAGGCAGAGGGGAGTGAGGGGAAACATGGGCAGGAGTCTTTATTGTAGTTTCTTTAGGAAGCAACAGGCAAGGCAGGGTAGAAATAAGGGCATAGGTGGTGTCCTAGTCATTTGAATAGCCAGCCCTGGGTGATTATGGCAGATGGATAGTGATCCACAGTGTGAAAGTCCAATAAAGGAGTTAGGTTGGGTATGGACTCTGAATTGATTGGTTTGCATATGAAAAGCACACTCCTAGGCAAGTTGTCTATCTTTTCTAGGAGTCTGCTATTCCTGGGAGAGACAAGCTCTTTAAGGTCAGTCTCTTCAGATACCAAAGCATCAGAAATCCAGAAAACATAGTCTTAATCAGTTCATTTGCCCAGAATTTTCACAATGGAGGTCTATAATGATACTATATAAAATATAAATAATGTGAAAGTGGTTGTATCAATGTTGAAATATTTTGATAATCAAGAAAAATAAGTTAAAAGTACTCTCTGTGTGCAACGGAAATCACATTAGTAGAAATGGACTAGATTAGCACACATAAAGTCACTCAACAGCATTCCTGTTAGGAAGTAACCTAAGGCCTTTGGATTTTGCCATGGAATTTTTTTTTTTTTTTTTTGAGTCGGAGTCTCACTCTGTCGCCCAGACTGGAGGGCAGTGGCCGCTCCCGGCCACCGCAGCCTCGACCTGCTGGGCTCCGGCGATCCTTCCGCCTCAGCCTTCCGAGTAGCCGGAATTACAGGCGCGCGCCACCACGCCCGGCTGACTTTTTGATTTATTGTAGAGATGAGGTCTCGCTGCCCAGGCGGGTGTCGAACCCGCGGGCTCAGGCAATCCACTCACCTCAGCCTCCCAAAGGCGTGGGATTACAGGCTGAGCCACCGAGCCCGGCTGAATTTTTTTTTTTTTTTTGGTAAGTCTTGCTAGATATTTATTGATTTTATTGAATCAGCTTTTATTTTCATTGAATTTCCCTACTGATTTTCTGTTCTTAATTGGAATCATTTCTGGGCTTACTGTTTTCTTCTGCTGCTTGCTTTGGGATTATTTTAATCCTTTTCTATGTTCTTAAAATGAGACATTAAATTATTGATTTGAGACTTCCCCCGTTTTACATGCAGTTAGTGCTACAAATTTTCCTATCAGCATTGTTTTAGCTGTGTTCCACAAATTTTGATATATTGTATTTTCATATTAATTCAGTTCAATACGCCAGGTACCAGGCCTATAATCCCAGCACTTTGGGAGGCATAGGCGAGAGGATTGGCTGAGTTCAGGAGTTTGAGATCAGCCTGGGCAACTTAGCAAGACCTCATCTCTACATAAATAAAAAAATTAGCAGGCATGGTTGTTGGGAGCCAACATCTATAGCTACATGGCTGAAGCCTGTAAAGGCCCATCTGGAAGATCGCCTCTGACATAGGATATCAGTTATACCTATAATATTGCCGTGTGATTAGTGACCAGTGTGCATACATGGCAGTAAAACTTATAAGTAAATCTCAATACACCTGATGGAAAGTGCATAGCAGAATTATTTCTCTCTGTCTTTCTAAGTTTTACTTCTTTCTAGATATTTTTTAACTTCTATTTCCTGGTAGACTGGGTAGTCAGCTCTTGTTCCCAAAGCTGTTTCCCCTAGGGTTAAGATTAGAAACTAAATTACCATGATAGTTTTGTCACCCTGCCCCTAGCCAGGTAGAACGTTTTCTTTTGTTTCATTAATTACCGAAACTCTGTCTGCTTCAGCCCATGGCCGCCATCTTGGCAGCCCTGCATTTCCTTGTTCAAGAGTGTGACAGCTACTATTTGATTTTTAGAGTAGACTTGTTAGGATAAAATATATACATATACACTCATAGTTGCGTAAATCTATGCTTGCTGTTTTGTTTCCTTTTGCTACATTATTCAAATATAATAGTTACTATACGATTTATAAAAGAATTAATGATGAGGTATTAGCTTAATAGGATATAGCATAGTATTAAAGTCCAATCACTAGATCATATAAAAATTAAAGTTTAGACATATGAATTATAGTAAAGTTTGGTAGTTTAAGAATAAGTTTTAACTGAGTTATAAGGCATTACATTAAATCATAATAGGTTAATAGTATAACTGACAGTTAAGTCATTTAACTAAACTTATAGATTATAGTATAGCGTTAAGTTGATAATATTAATCGTTAAAAATATTGGGAGTCAGTGAACTTGGATTGAACCTAGAGTTAACTTAGAAAAGTTTTTTGTATTAATCAGGGTATAGAACAAAGAGTATAATATGAATGATTCACTGAACATTGGAAAACACTTTGAACGATTTGTATTGAAATTGTGCACCTGTGACCTTAATGTAAGCATGGCAGGTATCATGGAATTCGAATTGTTTGCTTGGAAATTGCAGATCTCGTGGTGGTCTTCTGATGCATAGTTTGTAAAGCACGGAACTTGTATGCCCCCAGTAAGTGATTATCACACTGCTGGAGGGTATAGAAAATGGTATATAAGTTAGAAGGAGTTCAAATAAAATTTGGCTTCAGTCCTGATCAGACTGTTCCCAGAAGAGCTGCCTCCGAGTAGTCTCTTCTCGCTGTCCAGATTCTCTGGTGCGGGTCCTAACCCACCCTTGGTCAGTGCTGGTCACCTACACACGGTGGCGTGTTCCTGTAGTCCCAGCTACTAAGGAGGCTCAGGCAGATGGATCGCCTGAGCCCAGCAGATTGAGGTTGTGGTAGCCATAAGCATGTCACTGTACTCCATCCTGAGCAACAGAGTGAGATTCTGACTCAAAATAATAATAATAATAATAAACTAGTTCAATGTATTTTTTAATTCCCTTGAAACTTTCTCTTTGATTCATAGATTATTTAGAAATGAGCTGTTTAGCTTCTAAGTGTTTGAAGACTTTTCTTTATCTTTCTGTTATTGGTTTTTAGTTTGAGGTTAGGGAATGCATGCTGCATTATTTTAATTATTTTAAATTTATGTATTTATTTATTTATTTATTGAAATTTAAAGAAAAAATTTATTGAAGATCTGAAAAACAATTCCTAAAAGATTGACTTTTCCAGAAAACTAGCTACACAATGCATTGCGTCTATCATGTTATAACGTGCATTAGACACAAATACAAAAACCATGAAACAAGTCACCATTCTTCAACAATTTGAGCAAAGATAAAATGCCTAAGGAACAACATGGATGACTTGCAAAGGATGGGCTCTTTACTTTAAGCACCAATAAAAAAAAGAAAAGGAGCACAAATGGATGAGTGTGTTCAGTTATATACACTGAATTGAACCTTTGGCACTAGTAATCAGAGCATTTTGTCATATAGTATTAACACGTATTATAAAAGTGCGTAGTGTCAAAGGAATAGAATGACCAGCATTCAAAAGCAGCTTTGTCAACTGGGCAATAAAACACTCTACAGTATGTCTCTCTGTTGTCCATCTTTGAATACACTGGGTAAGTTTGAATGAAAAAAAAAGTAAGAAAAGGAAATAGGAGCCATAACCCCTTTTATTTTCTCTGTTTAAAATCAAACAGAAAACAAACATCAATTCTGTTATACACTAACATCTTCAATGTACATCGTTTGTACAAGAGAAATACTAAGAACAAAACGTGTTTACAGAGATCCAAACAGTGAGCACGAATGCCTCTCACACAGCTTTCCAATGGTACTCAGGAGGGGCCACTTCATAATCACTGGGACTAAACAAGGTCGCAGAATTCTTTGCCAGGTATTTTAGGAAGTCATGAAGATAATTCAGTAATAAAGCAAGGCTCTTCTCATCCAGAGGTGTATAGGCCAACATTGCTCCAATTCGCACAAATAATCTCCGCAGATGTGGTGCTCCATACACCTGGGACATGGGAGCATCAGGGTGATCTGCAAGAATTTCGGCATACTGTGGCCTCTCGAATTTGTAGAGTAGCTGAGTGCCCAGCATCACATTGAAGTATTCTTTTATTCCTGCCACAACTTCATTAACAGCATACTCATTATCTGTGTTTCCACGAGAATTCTTATAATTTGCATAATCCTCTAGAATGGAATCCACATTCTTCTTGGCAGGGAGATAAAAGAGCTGTTTTTGCCTGGTAATTAAGTCCCAGTCATCAACAAGTCATGGTTTTAGCTCTTCAGGAATTTTTACTTTAACTTCAACTCTGTTCATGAATGTTTCCTCATTTTCTTTTTTCTTTTTTTTCTTTTTTTTTTTTGAGTTGGAGTCTCTGTCGCCCAGACTGGAGTGCAGTGGCCGAAAATTCAAGAGAAAAAGGAATGCCTGTTGTACTTGCCAATATTTTTGTTTACCATATTATTTATTACTTTCTGATCTTTCATGTTTCCTTATTTAACTGTTTTGTTTCTTCTTGGAGGACTTAACTAGGTCATTCTTTTTGGGTAGGTCTGCTGGTGACACATTCTCAGGTTTTCTTCCTTTGAGAACATCTGAGTTCCCCCTCATTCTAAAGGATTATTTTTCTAGGTATAAAATTCTGGGTTGAAATATGTTTTATTTTACCATTGAAAAACATTGTTCTACTTCCTTTTGGCCTCCATGGTTTGTGATTAAAAAAAAAAAAAATCCACTGTCATTTGAATTTTTTTTTTTGTAGGTAAGGACTTGTTTGACTTTTGCTGCTTTAAAGATTTTTGTCTTTAGTTTTCAAAATTTTAATTATTATGTGTCTCAAAGTGGATTTTTCTGACAATCTTAACTGAGATTTATTCAGTTTCTTGAATGTGTAGGTTTATATCACTTGCCAATTTTGGGTTGTTTCGGCCATTATTTCTTCAAGTATTCTCTCATGCTTTTTCTAAATTTTTCTAGGACTTAAAAACATAAATGTTAGATGTTTTTGTTACAGTACCACAGATCCTTCTGTTTTCTTGTTTGGTTGGTTGGTTGGGTTTTGCCCATTCGATTTTCTCTCTGTTGTTCAGATTAGGTAATTTCTATTGTTCTGTCTTCCATTTCACTGGTTCTTTCTTCAGTTCCCTACACTCTGATGTTGAGCTCACTCCACTGAGCTTTTTGTTTTAGTTATTTGTGTTTTCTTTATAAAGTGATAGAACTCTATCATGTATTTTTTTCAGTTCTAAAATTTTCAGTTGTTTCTTCTTTACATTTTTTTTTTTTTTGCTGGGGTTTTCTGTTTTTATATTTGAGCCACAAGTGTTTGTATTAATACCTGCTTGTTGAAGCAGTCTTATCGAGCATCTTTCTCAGATAATTCCAACAGCTCTGCCATCTCAGTATTAGTATTTGTTGGTTGTTCTCTCTTATTCTGCTTTAGCTCTTAGTTCTTAGTATCATGTATAACTTTTTTCAGTGAAATATGAATATTTTTGTAATATATTATGAAGCTTTGGATTTTATTTAAATTTTCTGATTTACCTGACTTTTTATGACACCACTCTATCAGTCAAAAGGGCACTGCTTTGTCACTGCTAGTCTTCAGTGGGGAGCAGAACGAACTCCTAATTACTGCTGGATATGATGAGAGTTTCAGCTCCCCGTGTGGCTTACATTGATATTGTGGTAGAGATGGCCTCATTACCAATGGGTAATGGTAAATGTCCTTGCTTTTCACTGGGCCTCCTCTGACACCACTCCAGCATGTAGGGAGAGAGTGCCTATTTTCTGTCAGATGAGAGTGAAACTCCAACCTCATTTGGGATCCATATTATTTTTTTAAAAACTATTGTTGCATTTATTGTCACTTGTTTACTTTTTTAAATAAGGATAATAATTTATTGCTTGAAAATTGAAGCATTGAATAAAAATAATTACTTCAGGACAATATAGTAATTCAGTTTTAAAAAGTCATATAAATTCATTGCATTATTTTCCTTCATAAAGTGATATAAACCTATCATGCTAGTTTCCTTTATATAAACTCTAGCATGTTATTTCCCTTCATAAAACCCTTTAATAGCTTCTTATTCCTTATGGGATGCATAACTTCAGCGGCATACAACCTCCTCACTAATGTAGCCCTATCTACCCCTGTGGTCTCATACCTTGCCTATTCTCTACATTCTCTACATAGTCTCATGCATCCTCTACATAGTTTCAAGGATATTATCATAATTATTCCCAGAGTATTCTTTATTAAAATAGTTTTTCTTGCTGTATTTCAGTAGATCAAAGAAGCCCTTGATTATATGGCACTGCATTATCTTCTGAAAACAGCTGAGAAAGAAAAACACTGATCCAGCAGGAACAAACACACATGGACTCAGGACTTCATTGGTGCAACAGTGGGAACTGTCTGGACTCCTGAAGTGGGTATCAAGCTCACTGGGGTAACTATTTATAAATACATTTTACCAGATATCAAAGCCTTAGTATATCATACCTGTGGCTATAATGGCCTTTATTATAATATATATTAATTCTAATACTATATGCTTGTACACAGTGCTTTGTATACAGATATTAAATATGCTTAGCGACACCATGGCCTTTGTCCTCTCATCCCTTCCTCTTACTCTAGACAGGTAGGGACAGTTCTATGACCCCTGCTCAGTAGGAAGAAGCTACAGAAGACTGACCCCCATCCCAGTTCTCACGTACAAATAAGAATATTTTTAAATAGCAAGAGGAGGAAATGAAAATACATATAACATGGATTTAATATACCCAATGAGCAGTCATGTTAACATTGCCTAAATCTCATGTTTATCTAGCAGTTCACTTATCTTACCTTCTAATCATTAGCCAAGGACAGAACTGGTTTCTCAGAGGTAGCAATTGATAATTGTTTTACAATCCCCATTCCCAGTTTGTTTTGTGCTAACTAGCATTTCTATTTCAAGTATTTGCCTCTACCCATAAGACCCACGTTAGCCTAATCAGTCCTTTGTGACCTACATGACACTGACCCCATCACCATGGCAGCAGTCTTGTGACTAACCCATCCATCTGCCTGCTGTCCATCACCTGATGTCAGTTCCTATACTTACCTGTCCCTCTGTGATGATGTGGAGCAGACCACCACCCAACCACCTTAATAATTTGCCCTCATCAAAAAGGAATGTGTAAAAGCATTCAACCGCAAGCAGCCATTTGCTATTGCCTTACCAGACTCTGGTGTGGCCATGTTCTCTTTGAGTTATGGCCGTAGTCATGTTTCCTGGCTTTGTTCCCCTTCCCTACTCAGAGAGGTGAATCTCCTCTTTCTCTCCCTCCCTCTCTCCCTCTCTCTCTCTATCTCTCTGTCTCTCTCTCTCTCTCACTAATTTACTTTTTAAATAAACTATATTTTCCAATCTTAAAAAAAGGAAAAGCACTGATCATTATACTTTTATAGGGTTATCAATTTGAGGAAGCATCTTAATTTTAGAAATATTGAAATAAAAAAGTATCAACCTATAAATTTACAAAATGTGGTAATTGTTGAGTATATCCAAAAAGACTATTTATAAATATGTGTATAAAATATGTATGTGCAATATATAAAGAATAACACAGTGAACTGAACATGACTGTGACATGCACCTATACATTCCTACCATATTTTATCCCCTGCCCTCCCTTTAGAAAAAATACAATTTGAAATTTTAAAGTATATATTCTTTTAAAAAATCATTTACCATGTATTTGTAACCCTAAGAAGTATATTGTATAATTTTAGCATATTCTTTATGTGTTATTTAGTTATTCTGCAATTTATGCTTTTTGCCCAGTATGATCTTCCTGCGATCTATCTGTGTTATTACTGTAACACATTTACTTTTACTACCATGTACATACACCTCAATGTTTTCACCTACCCCACTATTACTGCTGATGTGCTGTGATGAACATTTGGATGTCAGCTTCTTATGTGTGTGCTGATACAAACATGCTATCCTTCTACTTGTCTTCTGGAGCACGTGTACAGAAGACTCCCTGGAGTACAATTGTGTCTAGAGTTGAACCTCCTCAGCTTTACAAGACAGTAGCAAACTGTTCTCTAAAGTGTTTGGAGTAATGTGCCCTCTCAGCAGCAGTTTGTACATATTCTAGCTATGTCCCTGGGTCCTACTTCACTTGGCTTACAGGTATCTAATCTCCCATACTGTCAATAAACAATAGTCAATCAACTCTTAAACCATCTCTTTTATTTTCTTAAGTGTTCCCAGCATCCTTTTTTCTTGCAATTATTTATTTATTTATTTTTAATGGACACATAATAATTGTGCATATTTATGAGTACATAGGGATGTTTCGATACATACAAATATATAGTTATCAGATCAAGGCAATTAGCATGCCCATCAAGACATCTCTTCATGAAAGTATATAACATGAAAGTTAAAGGTAAAGATTTTGGAGCCAGACTGCTCCAAGATTGCTGTTAAGATTAGATTACAGGCACAGCCTGTAATCCCGCGCCTTTGGGAGGCTGAGGTGAGTGGATTGCCTGAGCCCACGGGTTCGAGACCCGCCTGGGCAGCAAGACCTCATCTCTACAACAAATCAAAAAATCATCCGGGCGTGGTAGTGCATGCCTGTAATTCCGGCTACTTGGAAGGCTGAGGCGGAAGGATCACCAGAGCCCAGCAGGTCGAGGCTGCGGTGGCCGGGAGAGGCCACTGCACTCCAGTCTGGGCGACAGAGTGAGACTCCGACTCAAAAAAAAAAAGGTTAGATTAGTGAATACATATAATATGCTTAGAAAAGAACCTTGACCATGATAGGAATAAATAATTGTTAAATACTGTTGTTGTTTTTGTTTTGAACTACTCACAAAACCCTGATAACATTTAGATTTTAGTGTATTGTATTTTTGTGAATTTACACATATTGCTGCCTCATACTTAAATGTTCTCTCTCTCCTCTGTCTGAATTTAATTCTTCGAGAGCAATCCTATAAATCACCCTCAGACCCATGCAGAGTTGATTAGGCCACCACTGCTTCACATTTGTCACTTATCACATCACATTTCAATCGTTTGTTGGCTTCCTGTTTCCTTACTACAATGTAAGTTATTTTGCAGAATAACCTTTTATTGTTATTCTTTATTTCCTGTTCTTTGAGAAATAAATGTGTGAACAGATGAGTGAATAATTACAAAAATTAGTAGTACCCACTCCAGCATATTTATTTAGTTTTGCAAATTCAACTGGATTTCAGAGTTAAAATATATCATGTTCTCCTAATAGACTCTTATTAAAGAAAATTTCCTTTTTTTAACATGCTAGAGTGGAAGAATCTTTAAATGTGACCTTTTTATCTGCATGCAAGCATAATTACCTTTTCTCCAACCAGTCTTGTAAATTAATATACCCTTTATTTTTCCTTCTGTGTGAGAATGTTACTCTGCAGCATAACTGATGGAAAAAACACCTATGAGCATTAAAGAGCAGTCATTTTATGGATCTCCTTCCTCCTGCTTAGTCTTTAAGTTGGTAAAATATATACATTATATATATATATATGTTATGCATATATATATATTTTTATATGGAATCCTTTGTTCCTGTGGCTTTAGAATGAAGAAATGATTTGCTGTTAGAATGTTAATACCCACAAAACTTAAGCAAGTGATAAAGTCCACTGCCTGTTAATAGGAGCTCCTTCTGCTACCTCCCTGCATTTAACTTTTGTGTGAACAGCCCTCATTCACACAGGATGAATTCAGCTATTAAGCTGTTACATCTTATATTGTGTCAAATCTTTCTTCCTAGTATTTCCACCAAAGTGGCATCAGTTTTGACATTGCCATTTGGCAGTGAGGCCAAATATTTCAAGTCCTTTTTCTCCTAAATGTGACTAGCTTCTCTAAGGTTTCTATATATGACATAGAATGAAGCTCATCCGGTTGACTGACTGAAGTTAAAAATGTAGCAACTAGAATTGAGCACAATACCCTAGATGTGGTGTAAAAAGTTTACAATGGATTATCACTTAGGCATTTATTTATTTTACAAATGTGTTTTACACCCCTTGTTTCGTTGTACACTTGTATTACTATAGCTTAAAAACATATTTAATTGGGGGGATGCCATAGCACACTATTAACAGACATCAAGTTTTATTCACACAAATATTTTTAATTTTATTTCATTTTATTAATTTTGTACCAGTATCTCCTGTTCAATTATAACAATTTTTAATTCATATTGTCTCATCTAACAGAATCATTATTCTATTTGTATTAGAGTCACCTGAAAATTTGATGACACAAGTTCTTTAAAAGAATGATAGAAAATACCATTTGTATGCTTAGAGCTTACCACAATGTCTGGTAATAATAGGTGCTCAATTTAAATTGAATGAATTAATTATTGAATGAATGAGTATTCTTTAATATTAAAATCAGTCCAAAATTAGGTTCGTCTACTTTCCTTATACATCTTTCCCTTATCCTATTTCCTTGTTTCATAAAATGACGTAATCATATTTTCATATTATCCAAATTCTAAACCTTGGAATTATTTGCGATTACAGTTTTTTCTCACTCACAACATTCATCCAATCATTCAAGAATTCTTCATCCATGAAGTTGCCTTTCTTGCCTAATGAGGAATGCTATTGCAATCCTTCATTAAGAAGAGTGACATTAAAAGCTTTTATTGCTAATGAGACACTTTTCTCATGATATTATAGAGACCTATTATGGACAATGTCTTGAATTACTGGAAGTATGCTATTTGCAGAGTATGCCCTTTCCCAGACAAACTAACACATCAGTGAGTACATTTGCTCAAACAGCTGCACTTAACAGCAGGAATCACACATGCATCACAGCAGTAAACTGTCAACAATAGACTGACAGTGCTCTATATTCAGGGAAGAAGTCAAGAGAATTGCATATAAATACTCAAAGGGTATATGCCTGTTTATTTGTATACATACCAAATGTCAGATACATTCCACATTCATTAAGAGTCAAGTGGGCAAGGCACTATGTTGTTTGCAAAAATGAATGAAACACAATTCCTGCCCTCAAGTTCACAGTCTTGGGAGAAAGACAAATATGGGGGGGAAAAGTCCAGCATGAGTTATCTACAGTGATGTAAGTAGGTTCAAAGCACAGAAAAGATTGTCAAAATACTGAGACTTTGGGAATAGCGTTTAAGAAGATGAATGAAACTCAAATCCATCACTTTCCTCTTCTATGTCAGATTTTCTGGTAAGCCTTTGTTCATATCATTTTATATGTAATAGGAAATATGTGAATAACTGATGCTAAAGAGTTCTTGGTGAGTACAAAACTAATACTGTGTATTCAGCAAGTGAACAATCACAAAGATAGAATCAGTGACTTTTAGTCAAAATGGAAAAGTAAATTATAATTTTTCCAAACACACATCAATAATAGATATAACATAGAAAAATAAAGCTAAAAGGACAGAGCTGAAATAAGATAAATATCTCTTTTTTACCTGGCCTCCCAAGTGTGGTTAGGGTAGAGGCTTACTGCTTTAATAGATGGTATAATTCCATAGAACAAAAATAAAGCAAAAGGGGATAAGACAGAGAAGAAAGAAAAAACAGTTCAAAGTATTAATCATTATCAATCATCTTGTAAGACTGTCTTCTGAGAAGTTGTATAAATGACTACTCAATCCATGGAGAAAAGAAAAAATAATGTATGTGCAGGCTCCCCCATCACCCACTGGTTGAAGCTTGACTACACAGGTGTTTTTGGTTTTTTCCCTCTTCCCTGATCAAGTCCTCTCACATCCTTTGGGGTATGCATGCTTGAGACCATAGCACGACCTACCTGTCTTTAAGAAAATGGCACGAGGCAGCAAGTGAGACAGGGCATGGTGAGTGCTACCCAGTGGCACTTGTGTGAAGGTTGATGGTTTCTTCAGAGTGAGATGATTGATGCAGCAGTAGCAATGGCTGAAATGGGTGGTCAAAGTCCCAAAGAGAAGTTATGATGAGAGAATCTGATGTCTGAAATGCCTAAAAGGTGTCTGATGTAATTTCCATGGACTTGAAATGCAAAGTAGTGAGCAGAGCTAAAGCCACTGTCTACTTGGCTTAGCTCCTGAAACATATAGTGACTGCCAACATACATGACAATGACAATCACAAAATGCAAGGTGGTCACTAAGGAAAAAGAAAGAGAAGAAAACAGGATGAGGAAGCAGTTGGCAGAG